TTGCAATAAATAGTCATCATAAAAGCACTATTAAATAGGACAGTAGGATTTCTTTGCATCAAAATATGCAATAGATATTAAAGGGACATTTAAAAATTACAATTCTGACAGCATTTACTTTCCCTTAAGTGGTGGAAAACCTGTCTTTTTATTTTTATTTTGTCAAACACAAAGAATACATGATGAAAATGTTGGAAACATGTAACCATTGAAAATCTTAGGAAAAAGAAATACTATGGAAGTCAATGGTTACAGGTTTCCAGCATTCTTCAAAATATCTTATTTTGTGTTCAACACAAATAAGTGTTATGCACAATAAGACAAGGGTGGTGGAATTACGACAGAATTTTCTTTTTCAGGTGATGCATATTCATTAAATTAAATGCATAAATATGCACTTAACATTAACAAAAATAACAAGGGTTATACACAATAAGACAAGGTTGGTTGACATAATTATGACATTATTTTGTTTTTCAGGTGAACTATGCATTTAATATAAATGCATATATCAATTTTTAGTCTTAAGTAAAACATATAAGCTGAGAATTTTGGATATGCACCACTCCTAAAGAAATCTTTCAGTATTGCAATTGAATTGCAAATAAATAGTCTTTATAAAAAAGCACTATTGAAAAGGACAGTATAGGACTTCTTTGCATTAAAATATGCTATTGAAGGGACAGTTAAAGTTTACATTTCTGATATCATTTACTCTCCCTTAAGTGGTTGCAAAACAGACTTTTTATTTTTATATTGTTAAACACAAAGAATCAATGATGAACATGCTGGAAACATGTAACCATCGACAATCTTAGGAAAAAACAAATACTGTGGAAGTCAATGATTACAAGTTTCCAGCATTCTTCAAAATATCTGCTTTTGTGTTCAACAAAAATAACAAGGGTTATACACAACAAGACAAGGGTGGCTGACATAATTATGACATAATTTTCTATTTCAGGTGAACTATCCATGTAATATTCACGCACATGACACACAAGTTGAGCATTTCAGACATGCACCGCTCTCAATTCTTGTTTTTAAAGTAATGTTTTAGTATTTTGAATGAATTGCAAATACATAACGCATTAATAAAAATACAAATGTCCAATGTTTGACAATAAAGCATCTCACAAACATGCATTTCTTCCTTTTGTAATCATATAACGGGTATACGGCTGACCAAAACAAGTGCATGGTGTGTGACTGGGAGGAGAGCACGATTATTTGTGCACCTCGAATGCAATGTTTCAGCCCATCCTAGAGATCTGCACACAACAAATGCAGTGCTCAGTGTTTGTCCGAGCTCACTGTACTTCGCGGAGCTGTCAGAAACACTGCCGATGCAGCAGGAACGCGTGCATGTGTCTGAGCGTGGAAATGTGCGCTTCATTCAAGCTGACGCGCACACAAATAAAATGCATACACAATCCATTGTGTAACATCCACCAACAGCCTTCTCATAAAGATCCCTACATGCATCTTTAATAAAACAGAGCATTTGTTCAGCGTAAGCACGCATTTATCCTTTCACATGTGCCTCGTGAGAAACATGTCAATCAAACTTACAGCACGTTCAAGTTCCAAAATAGCTTACTCGACTCCATTCCCACGCGTTCTGCTTATTAAAAGTAACATGCATAACCCAATCTGGATCCTGTGTGACCTCTATAGCACTCAAATGAACCCAGTGGAATAATATACGCTGTTATTATTCGTGAACGCACATCACAAAGGAAGCCACCGCCGCTCGCGCGCGTGTATGTGGAGCAATTACGCACAGATTACGCATGGCTAAAACCACAGAAAAGATACACCAAAGCTTGAATTAAACTCACCAGCGAAGGTAAATCCCGAAGAAAAGAAGAAGCAGATCCATGTGAGTACAACCCCGGATCTCCAGCGGACAAAGGGACTCAGGTGTAACGGCATCTTTATCACCTTCTGCTTCAAGTTTAAGTCTGTAAAATGAGTATCTGCGGTCTTGTCCAGGCTCAGGTTTGGTAATATCAGAGCGATGAGCGCATTTATAAGTCCTCTTCAACACGAATCCTCCGCTGTACCTTTGCCATCAGCGCGTCTTGGTTGCTCAGAGACAGCAGCGCATCACAGGTGTGGTAAATAAAGACGCGGCTCTAATTTCTTCAGCTCAAACACACTCACTCACACACACGCATGCAAAGGGACGCACACACATGCACACACACTCCAGACGCGTGAAGAAAGAGAGATAGAGAGAGAGAATAAAAAGCAAACGTCCGTCTTTTTACTCTCCGCTGCAGAATTAGTTGCTCCGGTATAAAGAGATCGCTGGATACGGGCTTGAGCGCGTGCACATCTGCTGCTACAGCAATGCAGGAGTGAGGATACGCGATGTATAGAGCAGGAAGAGAGAGAGAGGGCGAAAGAGAGAGCAAAACCCGGAGCGGAGTTTGGAGAATCACTGGAATGGAGCACGGAGACCCAATCAAAGCGCATTTAGAGACCGGGGTTAGTGGCCATATTTTGTACCAAATCAATGTTTCAGGGAGAGGTTTGTTTTTGCCGTTTGTATTGTTTTCTGTACGTAATCTGATCTAAATGTCCTCAAATAATTTGGTATTTTGAGCAAACAATTAAAGGCGGACAGATAAAGACTTTTTAAATCCATTGAATGGAGGAATAAATTAATGAACAGATAAAAAAACAGACATGTTGCATTTACTGTCTTTTATTAAAACTATTTTTATTATTAATATATTGGTCAGTAAAACAGTATTATTGTGAATAGTCATTTATTTAGTTTTTTAGAATTTCCAACTAGAAATTAAAAAATTTAAAGTAAAGTGATGTATAACAATAGAATAAGTATGTAATCTATTATTATTATTATCATTATTATTAGTGTAAGAAAGTAGGAAGGTAATACTGACTTGCAGGGGAAGTATCACAATGGAGTGTCAGCCAAAGCACTTCAAACAAGACCCATTTCGTTGGGTTTTATTCACTAATTAACTCTCCACATGGTATCAGACTCGTTTATTTGCATGCAGCCACGACACCCAGGGGTGTCCAAACTTGGTCCTGGAGGGTGGTGTCCTGCTGAGTTTAGCTTTAACTTGCTTCGACACACCTGCCAGGACGTTTCTAGTAAAGCTGTGGTCACACTGGGCTTTTCCTCATCCTTTCATACGCATGTGAATGCGTCAGCAGGGTCATGCGTCAAGTTTTGCAGGTTGCTGCGGTGCAAAGTTCAAGCTTGGTGAACTCTGACCTTCGAAATCGCATCACTTGACTGCGTGAGACCAGTATTGTTTAGTTCCAACCCTGCTTCAACACACTTACTTGTAGGTTTTAAACAAGCCTGAATGACTCAATTAGTTTGATCAGGTGTGTTTAATTAGGGTTGGAACTAAACTGTGCAGAGCTGCGGCCCTTTTGGAACTGAGTTTGACACCTGTGCTGTAGTGTGACCGCAGCTTAAAGATGATTAGGGTGATAAGATGCAGCTGTGAACCATGTGACCTTCACTGAGAGTATCAGAGAGGTGCAACAAACAGTGGGCAGGGCTTCAGTAAGCATGTCACAGAGATTTTCTACAATTAGCCAATTAAAAGTATTATTAACCAGCAATTTAAGAGACTATTAAGATTTCCAATTGACAGTGACACATATATGAAAAATAAATAAATAAGTAAATAAATAAATAAATAAATAAAATGGACATTCACTAGTTCACTAGTTCTATAGTTGCATTCACTGTTTGTATTGTTACTATTTTTATATATATATTGGTCAATAAAACAGTTTTATTGTAAATTGTCATTTACAGTATTATTGTCTTCTAGAATTTTCAACTTGAAATTAAAACACTTAAAGTGAAATAATATTTTAATCTAGACCTATTCATTCATTTATTCTCTTGTCGGCTTAGTCCCTTTATTAATCCGGGGTCGGCACAGCAGAACGAACCGCCAACCTATCCAGCAAGTTTTTAGGCAGCGGATGCCCTTTCAGCTGCAAACATAAATAAATAAATAAATCAACTAACAAAGCAAACAAAAAATAATTAAATAAATAAACTAAATAAATCAATAAATAAACTAACTAATAAACTAACTAATCAAGCAAGCAAACAAACAAACAAATTAAACAAACAAACAAACAAATATATAAATAAATAAATAAATAAATAAAATTAATTAATTAATTAATTAAGCAAAGACAAAAAACAAACAAACAAACAAACACATAACTGAATAATTAAATAAATAAATAAGTGACATAAATAAATATATAAACTAACTAACTAAGAAAACGAACAAACAAATAATAAAATTAATGAAATAAACATTCATTCATTTTCTTGTCGGCTTAGTCCCTAAACAGTTTAACTTAATTAATCATTTAATTATTTACCAAATAAACTAATTGAGGCGAGGCAGTGGTGCAGTAGGTAGTGCTGTGAGCTCACAGCAAGAAGGGCGCTGGGTTGCTGGTTCGAGTGCTCCGGGTGCTCCGGTTTTCTCCACAGTCCAAAGACATGTGGTACAAGTAAATTGGGTAAGCTAAATTGTCCGTAGTGTATGAGTGTGTGAATGTTTACCAGAGATGGGTTGCGGCTGGAAAGGCATCTGCTGCGTGAAAAATTGCTGGATAAGTTGGTGGTTCATTCCGCTGTGGCGACCCCAGATTAATAAAGGGTCTAAGCCGACAAGAAAATGAATGAATGAATAAACTAACTAACTAAGCAAACAAATAAATAAATAAACTAATTAAACAAATAAAGAAATAATAAATAAATAAATAAATAAATATAAATAAATGTACCACTAGACATAAGTAAATACAGCAGAACTACTGTAGAAAACAACAGCATTAGTAGCATTTTAAAGTACAGATGTGCTGTCTGTGTATTATTGCCAATGGCTGGTAGTTAGAGATATTAAGGGCACTGTAAGATTAAGGTGGTTACATATTTTAATGTTCCTTGCCCCCCAATTCAGTGTGTTTTGTATGATTACACATAAAACTTAAATCAAAAAAGAGCTTAGCGCTTCCACCCAAACATGATCCTACTCCACCCATCAGGATCATGAGTTTGAGATGCCTCTCCAGATTAAAGAGGCCACTGTGAGTGCAAACCATCACATTAAATGTAATCATTTCACTGCACTGCACATGACAGCGAGATTCAATCTGGGCTTGTTAAGTTTTTCTTTTTTGCATTTGAGTGGTTGAGTGGTAATGTTGACAGTCCTCTCAGGTTATTTAAGAAGCAAACATAAATGCTGCACAAATCACTGTCAGCATTGCAAATGCAAAGAGCTGAGTAATAACACATTATATGCAATACGCAGTGGTGTAAATGAATCAAATTACTGTTATCAAGGAGCTTTTCTCAGGAATTATATTTAAGCAAGTAGTTTAGTAAAAAGGGTGGCATGGTGGCTCAGTGGTTAGCACTGTGGCCTCACAGCAAAAAGGTTAGTAGTTCAAGTCAAGGCTGGGTCAGTTGGCATTTCCGTGTGGAGTTTGTATGTTCTCACCATGTTGGCGTGGAGTTCCTCCGCTCCGGGTGCTCCGGTTTTCCCCACAGTCTAAACACATGCGCTATAGGGGAATTGATCATCTAAATTGGCCGTAGTGTGTGTGTGTGTGTGTGTGTGTGTGTGTGTGTGTGTGTGTGTGTGTGTGTGTGTGTTTGTGAATATGAAAGTGTTTGGGTGTATGGGTGTTTCCCAATACTGGGTTGCAGCTGGAAGGGCATCCACTGCATAAAACATATGCTAGAATAGTAGGCGGTTCATTCCACTGTGGAGACCTGATAAATAAAGGGACTAAGCCAAAGGAAAATGAATGATTACATGTCATTTACACAGTGGCAGTGAGTTGGCAATGTTGCTGTTTGATGCTTGTGTGTTGATAAGTATCTTATTAATTAAATTATTAATTAATTAATTGGATTTGTAATATAATATACAACTCTTTGCGTTTTTAATATAAAATCGCAGTGATATTAGTTAAGTTTTTCAGTATTTTTTTTTTTTTTGCAATGTTTCAGTTTTCTAAACCTAATTAATCTGAAGTAAATGTTTTAAACTCATCAGATGTGGATGCATTGTTATTGTCATCAAACAGAGAGGTATAATATAAATTATCATTGCATTTTAAAAAGAAGCTGTTAATAAATAAATATTATGTTTTTTTTTTGTTTTTTTTTTTTGTATTTGTCTAAATAATACAATATTGTTACCAGCGATCTTTGCCTGTGCAGATTGCAGGAGAACTACTTGTCTGCCATTATATGAAGCACAACTCCCGGAAGCTTTTGCACTCACACACCAGTTCCTGATTACGCTTGGTTACAAATACACAGCAGAAGTGTATGAAGACTGATTACCAGGACTATATATAGTTAGATATATACACTAGATATCGCATACGGACCACGAGCAAGCGTCAATACCACCGCCATATTGGTCAGGGTTCCCAAGACAAATGTCATTCAACCGCACTGGTTAAGACTAAAGCCAGTGTGAAGATGCTGGACTTTAGCGCTGTGTACGAGTATAGTAACGAGCAAACAAAGGCAGAACACTTCATAGGTAAGATTTCGTTTTTTTACATTTCTGCATGTTACGAACTTTTATGCTAAACAAGTAATGTTATTGATGATAATACAGTCCCTTACTGCATTCATTCATTTTCTTGTCGGCTTAGTCCCTTTATTAATCCGGGGTCGCCACAGCGGAATGAACCTCCAACTTATCCAGCACATTTTTACACAGCGGATGCCCTTCCAGCCACAATCCATCTCTGGGAAACATCCACACACAGACACAGACACAGACACATACACTATGGACAATTTAGCCTAACCAATTCACCTGTACAGCATGTCTTTGGACTGTGGGATAAACTGGAGCACCCGGAGGAAAGGAAACCTACGCGAACGCAGGCAGAATATGCAAACTCCACCCAGAAACGCCAACTGAGCCGAGGTTCAAACCAACGACCCAGCACCATTCTTGCTGTGAGGCGACAGCACTACCTACTGCGCCACTGCTTCGCCTACTGCATTTACATAAGGCAAAGTAGCACCAACTCGCATTAAATACAAGGCTTATGCTAGTTTTGTTGAATAAAATCAGCAAACAATGTAAATGAAATATGACAACAAGATCTGGGGTACCAGAAACTTGTATTATTATCGGCTAAGTAAAGGAGTCGTTCATAACGGGAATTCAATAACAAATAAATCGCTTCCTCCATTACACTTCATTCATACAGGGCGTTAGCGTCAATGCTTCCTAATCACTTTGAATGGGTGACTTCCGGCGTTGCTGAACTGCATTGTGGATCCGTTGATGCCGTTTCAAAGCCATTGCTTGCTGCAGAAGTTGGGACTTGCTCAACTTTTTAAGTGCCGACGGAAGCGTCAGCCAATCAGATCGCTGTATGCAAATGCACCAGCTAGACTGTGGCCTAT